CCCCCCACTCCCTGCCCCAGGACCTTCCTGCATGATCCTCATCTCAGACCCCAGCAATGGCGGCCGCCGTCTGTGGCCTGAGACCTCTGACACCCTGAGCCCAGGTCAGCTTCCCCTCCTCTGACTTGCTGTCTGGCCACAGTGACAGAAGCTAACACAGGTGACCCAAGCTCTCAGTTTTGGCCGCTGGTGTCTGGTGCTGTCCATCACCATCTAAGTCTCGCCCTCTGCCTTCCTAGAGGGATCCCAGGGTTTGGACCTTCCCCTGTGGACCGTCCTTCGTTCTGAGTTCCAAGTGCGTCCTCTGCCTGTGGAYACACAGTTGATATGACACTGGCTGCTGGAGAAGGATCTTTTTCGGTGAACTATCTTGTCCCTCCTGTCAAAAATCACTGGACTTGTGTGTGTGCTGGGYCTGGAACTCAAGCCCACAGTCCTGAGGGTGCAGCTTTTAATGTGATTTCCATGGTCATGAAACCTTCCCCTTTTAGCAAAAGTACCAAAAGTGAATTCTGAGCCAGGTGCGGTGGCTCCCGYCTSTCATCCCAGGTTCAGGAGGCTGAGRCAGGAGGATGGCAAGTTGGAGGCCAGCCTCAGCCACTTAGCAAGGCCCTGAGCAACTCAGTGAGACCCTGTCTCTCAATAAAATGTAAAARGSGCTGGGAATGTACATGGCTCAGGGGTCCAGTGCCTCTGAGTTCAATCCCCAGTACAAAAAAAAGAAGAAAAAAGAAAGAAAGAAAGAGGAAAAGAGAAAATTAGTTTGAGGAGGAAAAATCACAAATGCAGGAAGGCAAGACAGACAAATGAAGGATACCAAGTACAGGATCTTACTGTGCAGTGAGGAGAGAGCCCTTGACCTGGCGATGTGGTGAGTCCAACGTGAGCCCCATGTGTGTCCCAGACCACGTGGGTGTCCAGAGTTGTGTCATCTCCCTGAGCCACAGGACTGACCTCCAACCCAAACAGGCACGGTGTTGCGGGTGTGGGGGGACCCAGAGAAGAAATAGGAACCCAGAGTCTCCAGGCACTTGAAGTGGGAGAAAGAAAGAGGAATGGCATGTCTGAGAGCCGAGAGGCACCTAAGAAGTCCTGCAAGAGCCGGGCACTGGGCATAGGCCTGTCATCCCAGCAGCTAGGGAGGCTGAGGCAGGAGGATCAAAAGTTAGAGGCCAGCCTCAGCAACTTAGTGAGGCACTAAGCAACTCAGCGAGACCCTGTCTCTAAATAAAATACAAAAAAGGGCTGGGGACGGGGCTCAGGGGTGAAGCAATCCTGGGTTCAATCCCTGGTACCCCAAAAAAGAATATTTAAATTATGAAATTAATTTCTAATTCTTAGAAAACTTCCACCAATATGGATGACATCACACGGGGGGGGGTGGGGCTCAGGCCTTGGTTTCCAAGCCCGATTACAGGTGCCACAGGCTGAGTCCTGCGGGGAGGGAGGGAAGATGTCCCCTCGGAAGCTGGACCAGCTGGTTACCAGTAGCTGTACATTCTGGGAAAACCTGAAGTGCTCAATAATTGCTGCAGGGTAGAGAACACGGCAGCCAGGCCTGCACTTGAACTCTGCATTGGAGTCCCAGCCTCAGCAGCCCTGGGAACGCAGGCGGGAGACCTCCTCCGGCCTGCGTGTCCTTGTGTGTCACCTGGGAGGCTCATTTCTGCCTCAGGTCCATGAGATGTCCCATAGAGTGGCAGACAGAGTGCCCGCGTCTCACGTCTGACCTGTGTGTCCCTTCCTGGGTCCCTGCACACTGCTACCTGGCCGCCTCCCTCTGTCCCCAAGCCCAGAGCAGGGAAGCGCCTCGCCCAAGGTCACACAGCTCCTCGCCGCGGAGCTGAGGTCCATGACGTCACTCGCGCGGCTGGACCGCCGCAGCCGAGCGCTCGGGCCGCCGGTGTCGCCGCGTCTGGGCGCCAGGGGGCGCTGCGGGGCGGCCTGCGCCGGGGCTGCGGGAGGCTGGGGCTGCGGGAGGCCGGGGCTGCGGGGAGGCCGAGCCTCGGGCCTGCGCCCCCGGGGTGGGGATCGTCTGTGCGCCGCCCCCTGGTTCCCCTTCCGACCCCCGAGCGCCCCGCTGCGGTGCTGTCCCCAGGCCCGGCCTCCCCCCCAGGGCGATCCCCTCCCGCCGCCCGGGACCCTCGGGCCGTACCCACCCCGCTCTCCGCGACCGCCCCAGGCCACCGAGGGCTGTCCCCGGGGTCCCGCTAAGGCTGGGTCAACCCGCTGCCCGCGGAGGGTCAAGGCCACGTCCACCCCGCCCCCCGCCTACGGGGAGTGCGTGTCCCGCAGCGGCGGGGGGCGTGGTGGCCGGCGACACGGCAGCYGGGCGCGCTGTGCGGCTCGGGCCAGCGGCTTGCGGTCTCTGAGCCGCGTCCTCGGACCCGCGGGCCGGCGGGGCCTYGGCGGCCGGGCATTGGTGGCCTCGGCGGGGCCATCCTCGTCCTCGGGAGGGGCCGCGCCTGGCCGGGCSCTCATTGGCGATCGCGGGGCGCGGAGGCGATGCCGGGGGACGCCGCGTCCCGGGCCCCGAGGCCGCTCGGCCCCAGCGACCCGCGCGCCCCCCGCGGTCCCCAACTCGGGTGACGTCGGCGGCGGGGGCGGCCCGTCCCCCACCGCGCGCTCTCCGCAGGGGAAACTGAGGCCAGCGCGGAGGCCCCGCCAAGGTCGGCACCTCGGGGACGGGGACGGGGACGGGGACGGGGACGGGTCGGCTCCGCTCCTCGGTGCGCGCCCCCCCCCCTGCCGGCCGGACGCACAGGAGCCGCGCCCGCCGCGGGGACGGGGACGGGGACGGGACTGCGCGCGCTCGGCGGCTGCAGGCGACCCGGGAGGTAGGCGGCGGCGGGGACGCGGGGACGCGGGGGCCGGGTGGGTGCTGCGGCGCGGGGACCTTCCGAGAGCTCCGGTGGCCGCTGGCCGGGCCGCAGGAAGGAGGCAGGGCGGGGACGCGGGGACCGCGGGGGGCTCCYGAGAAGGCCGCAGTGGGGACACCGCACCGGGGCTGTGGCGACCCCAAGGGCCGCAGGGACACCCGGGCCAGCGTTTGGAGCCCGGGCTCTGCGGGTGTCGCTCCCGGGAGCAGCGCGGCGGGGACGCAGAGGAGCGGCCTCCGCGGCGCTGCGACGCTCTAAGGCGACTGTGGCGGCTGCGGGTGGCAGGTGCGCGGTCGTCGCCTCGGGCCGTTGGCGGCTCCCGCAGCCCAGCCCTGGGGTCGCCACGCACTCCTTCATCTCCTCCCCTCCCCCATCCGCTCCTGCCTCCCCACGGTGGCCAGCAGAGCCAGGGTGGCCGGAGGTGGTGGCATCCGAGGAATTCGCCCCGAGCCCGGGACGCGCTGCGGGCGGGGGAGCAGCTCCGGGAACCGCAGCCCCAGGCTCCAGAGCCGCCCTGCCCACCTCCCGGGCTTGAAGCCCCTCCTGCCACCACGTGGGGAAGGGACCAGGGACCGGTCTTAGCTCTGGGGACCAGGGGCTGGATCCTGGTCTGGGAAGTAGGGTCAAGGGACCCCACAGAATCTCAGATCTGTCTTGGAGACGACAGGATGTGTTGGGCTAGGGCAGGACACCCCTCTGACCTGTCCCCAAGGAGGGGACCCTCCTAGGCCAGGGCTTTAGAGGGGCAGCCCCTTCACCCTGACCAGCGTGGGCTTCCCCTGGTGGGCGCAGGGGCAAGAAGGAGTGGGCAGCGGAGAGCCTTGGCTCCCCATGTCCTCCTACCTCCCGCCCGCCCTGGGGACCTCCTTCCATGTTCCTGCCAGGAATTGCCACTGTAAACGGCCGAGCTGTCCATGGTCACAGCTGATCAGTTCCTGGAGCAAACRGAGCAGAAAGATGATAGTGGGTGTCCCCTCCCCCTGGCCCTGGCCAAGCCAGAGGCTCCCAAGGACAGAGGGGCCCTGCCCGGYCAGCTGTGTGGCGCTGGGCATGCCCCAGGGGCTCCTGGGAAGCTCTTGCTGGGCTCTGGGTGGCGACACTGGTGGGTGCTCTGCTGGGCTTCTACCCCATTCTGTGGTCAGTGTCCACCAACCGGGGGCCTGGGCAGCCCCCTTTGAAGGAGTCAGAATGGAGGTGACATAGCTGTGGCCTTCTGGTCAACCTCCCCTGCCCCGTATTGTGCCCAGGCCTTGGTACCTGCTGGCGACAGGAGCTCCGACCCCCAGCGCCAGCCCAGAACCCCCTGCAGGGAGGGAGGGAGATGGTCCCAGCCCCCAAGCCCTTCCCCAGGCAGGAAAAGCTAAGGCAGAGGTGGCCCGGGTGCCACATGCCCCCGCCCAGCTGTGGGGGATCCTGCAGGAGGCAGCATCCTGCAGCCAGGAGCTGGCCAGCGCCAAGAGCACGTCCAAGGTCACAGGGCTCCGGGTTGCGGGCCTATCCCCTGTCCTCCAGGACCCCGGTCATTCCTGAGAGCTGCTGCCTGGGGACCCCCGTGCCCCCTCAGGGGTCCCTGAAGAGGGGACCAAGGCGGGAGGCCTGCACTCGCTCCCCTCTGCAGGGGCCCTGGCTGCTGCCCGGTTGGTTTGCAAACATTCAGTAATCTTGTGTCTCATGACTTGGAGTTGACACTTGTGTCCAAAGCTCCTTAAAGGGCCGGTGGCAGCCAGCCGGGTCCTTCCAGCCAACCTGGCCTGCCCCACGCCTCATGTCCCCATGGCAACCCCTTTGACCCCTTCCCACCCTTCCATGTTGTCCAGAGGGGAGGGCCAAGGCCACACCGGAAGAACTGGGACCCTTGGCGTTCCTAGTCACCCATGGGAGTGAGGGGACGCTCGGGAGCCTCTAAGCCCTGCTAGGAGGGGAGAATGTGGCCCCCTTTGATCTGGGGACAGCCAGGTGTTCAAGCTGAGCTGCTGCACTTGACCTCTGGCGGGAGGGTCGACCAGATGCCTCGCTGCACTTGACCTCTGGTGGGAGGGTCGACCAGATGTCTTGCTCTATCCTGCCCCTTTGTTATGGGGGTGTGTGGGGGGTGGACAGTGGGGGTTCTTGTTTCCTGGATGGATGAGCTTGGGTGAAAGCCACCCTGTTGGTGAGGTCCCTGGGATTTGGGATCCCATATACCAGCGCAGCTCGGAGTTAGCATTCATTACCGCCGTGCAGTGACTCTGGGTACAGGGTCTTCTGATGACCCTGTCGCCCCCTAGGGCACCTGGCCCTGTCCTGGCCCCTGCAGGAAGGCACCCCACCCCCACCCTGTCACCTGACAACTCCCGGGTCTAGTGTTCTTCATCACTGTCATCCGGGTCCTTTCTTTTTAAAAGTTTACTCACTCACTCCCTGGATTGAACCCAGGGGTGCTTACCCACTGAGCCCCGTCCCCAGCCCCTTTTTATTTTTTATTTAGAGACAGGGTCTCGCTGAGTTGCTCAGGGCCTTGCTATAAGTGGCTGAGGCTGGCCTCTAACTTGCGATCCTCCTGCCTCAGCCTCCTGAGCCGCTAGGATATCAGGCAGGTGCAACCCTATGCCCTGGTCAAAGTTTGCTTTGAGTAGCCAGGTCTGTTGTCACTGAAGGAGAGGGTCGTGTGCAGGCCCTGACTTTAGACCCCCGGAGCCCACTCATCCTCTGGAACCTCCAGTCCTGGCTACCCCAGCCAATGCCACCTTGGAAGGGCGCCTGCGCCAGCCTCGTTCTCAGGCTCCTGGACGGCCTGCCGTCTGGTTTTTGCATCCACCAGATTGCAGTTCCAACCCAGCCGCACACTTAGCCCCTGCTCCTGGGGACGCGGTCCCAGGGCTGTCACACGCGTCACCCCTTCATCTGCAAGCCACAGGCCCACCCGTTAACTAGCAGGATGGTTCTGGAAAAGTTCATGTTCAAACAATGATRTCACCTCCCAGGCCACAGGCTCCTGTCCAGCACTGCCCCTCCCACCGCCCCTGTTGGGGACTCAGTCACAGTTAGTCGGTGGCTCTCCAGCCCTGGCCCTGTGTCACTGTGTGGGGACATTCTTGGGGGGACCCAGCATCCAGCTGATGCCCACAAATCCCGAGGCGCAGGGTCGGCCAGCCTGCCTCGGGGACCGGCCGGCTGTGAGCCCTGCATGTCACTCCCTGTGTGCCAGGACACCCRTGTCCCCTCCTGTCGCCGCCCCCTGCTAAACTCCCCGAGGGCAGGACGCTGGGTGGCTGGCGGCTGATTAAGTCTGGGTTGTGCTTTGAACTTGAATCCAAGCAAGAGTCGGGCTGCCTTAGAGAGGGTCCCCTCTCCCTGGACACGCAGAGTGACCAGATCCGGGTCCGTGGGGACTCTCATGCCCATTTCGGCTCCAAGCCTCAGGGCCTGGGATTTCTTTTGTGTTTTGCATTTTCCAATTATCTGGGGACTTGGTGGAAGGCTCTGGGTTGTCCTGGGGGTGGGGAAATGCTACATGGGGTGTTTGTCTGAACAAAACCAGGCCTGGGTTTTCTGGAACTTTCCATGGTGTGGCTCATGCAGATGCTGAGCTGGGTCTGTCTGGCTCCTCCAGAGGCCTCAGGGGTGGGCAGAAAGTGAGCCAGGAGGAGACAGAGCCCCTCCCCTCCGGGATCTGGAGTCCCAGGACTTTGTCACCCAGGACCCAACTCCTAGAGACCAGGAAAGTCCCTAAGTCAAAACCGGCACCGTAAGGGGTTGGGGACAGTGGGACAGGGGGACGGGAGCTCAGGCATGAATAGCCACCAGCAGCCAGCCCCCACTCCCCGCCCGGTCTGCAGCTAGACTGGGTTCAAATGCCACTTCTCAACTTCCCAACTTTGCACAGGACTTTAGATGAGTCACTGGGCCTCCCTGACCCTCAGTCTTTTCCTCTTTAAAACGGGGTCATGAGCCCAGTGCAGGGGCGCACGCCTATCATCCCAGCAGCTCAGGAGGCTGAGGCAGGAGGACAGCACGTTGGAGGCCAACCTCAACCACTTAGCAAGGCCCTGAGCAACCCAGTGAGACCCTGTCTCTGAATAAAATAGAAAAAGGGCTGGGGACGGGGCTCAGGGGTGAAGAGTCYCTGGGTTCAATCCCTGGGACCAAAAAAGAAAAGAAAGAAAATATGGGGTCAGGATAGCACTGACCCCCTGAGGCCACCAGAAGGTCATTCTGTGCAGGGACGTCAGCTTCCTGCAGATTGTTTTTCATTTCTTTCCTTGGGGACATCAGAGGAGCCTCCAAGGACCTCACAGTCCAAATAGAAATGTCAGCTGCATCCAGAAATGACGGAGTATCCGTCACGTCCCTGGTTCGTTTTCAGTTTTGGGGGTGACCGTCGGGGCACACAGACTGCAACCCGACCCTCCCAGAGCTTTCCTGAGTGGTGGGGACAAACAGGCGACTAAGAAGAGGTGTCACAGACTGAGAGGTGGCACGAGGACGAATCTGCCCCTGTTGGTGTGAAATGGGATTTTCAGTGACAGGACCCTTCTGGGAAAAAAAAAGAGACCCGGATTCTAGTCCTGGCCCTGCTGATCTCTGACTTGCTGTGCAGCCTTGGRTCAATTCCTTGCCGTCTCTGATTCTCACTTCTTATCTGTGCCATGACGTCTTCCAGCTCAGAGATAATGGCCTGATGGCTGAGCAGTCACCGGTTGAAAGGTTGTGACACCCATAATGGCCACAGAAAGTGGAAAGATGCTGATAAAAGATGAGAGTGTGCATGCGGTCACACCAAGGTCCAGAGGCTGACCRTGGCAGGGACGCGCCTGTCACACCTGGCGACTCCGTGAGAGCCCCATCCTTGGTCCTTGCYCATCCTGCTGTGCCACCGGTGGGGCGACTGCTTTCCATGTGACCTTGCTTTTCTTATTTTCGAGCTGTCTATAAATAGGCGCAGGGTGTGCAGGCAGGTCAGGCTGGACGGGTGGCCACAGGGTCACCTGTGTGAGTGGCTGTCTTTGGGCCTTTGAAACCAGTTGTTGTTCTTTTGTTTGTTTTGGTCCCAGGGATGGAGCCCCGGGGCATTTAACCCCTGAGCCCTGTCCCCAGCCCTTGTTATGTTTTGTTTAGAGACAGAGTCCTGCTGAGTTGCTGAGGCTGGCCTCCAAATTGCGATCCTCCTGCCCCAGCCTCCCGAGCTGCTGGGGTCACAGGCGTGCGCCCCRCGCCCTGTACTCCGTGGTGTCCGTAGGCCACCTCCCCCTCTCCTGCTTTCAGTTTGGAGCTATTGGTTTTGAATGAGTGTCCCCAGACACGTGGCGTGACTTCTCTAGGGCATCGACCTTGGTGGTCAATATGTATTTGTCCCAATTCACAAAGCGCTGGGCTTCCGCCTCCCGCGCCCCAGGGCCCCTCCTGGTTGCTCGATGCTCCTGGTGGGTGTGTGACAGAGTCGCCTGGTGGGTTTAGTGGGGCGTTTGGGGGTGTGCAGACGCGTTTGATGGCCGTTCAGATGTCCCCTGTGGCAAAGAGCCRTTCAGGGCTGTCCCTGCACCAGGCTCCCTGGGGTCTTGGGATGGACTTCAG